AGAAAAGAAGAAAGAAAAGAGTGAAGAAAAAAAGAAAAAGAAGAAAACAGGGTAAAGAAAAAGAGAAATAAACAGTGAAACAAGAAGGGGAAGAAGGAAAAAGAGTACAAGGAAAAAGGAGGAGGAGGAGAATGATGATGGAGAAGAGGTACGACAAGACCGAGAAGAAAAAGAAATGAAAGAAGAAAAAGGTAATGAAGAAGAGCAAAAATAAGAAGACAAACAAGAGAAAGAAGAAGAGGAAAAAGATGAAAAAGAAGAAGGAGAGGAAGAAGATGAAAAGAAGAAGAAAAAGAAAAAGAAGACGAAGAAAAAAGAGGAAGAAGAAGAGAAAGAGACAGACGAAAATAAAAGAGAAGAAAAACAAGAAGAGAATGAAAAAGAAAACGAAGACAAAACTAGGAAGAAGAAGAAAAAGATGTGAGAGAAAAAAAACAGGATAGAGAAGAAGATGAGGCAAAAGAAGAAAAAGTAGAGGAAGAAAGGCGAAAAATAAGAACAATAAAAAAATGAGAACTAAAATAAGAGGTAGAAGGAAAATAAAGAAAGGGGGAGGATTGAAAAAAGATGGTTAATAAAAGTTGAAAAAAAACGATAGAAAGGAGGAGAGTATAATGAATTAAAGTAAAAGAAATTTAGAAATGATTCAAAAACAGTAAGTAAATAAGAAAGAAAGAAAGAAAGAGAACAAGCAGCTAAGAAAGAAAAAAGAGAAGTAGCTAAGAAAGAAGAGAGAGAGAGAAAAACCAGTTAAGAAAGAAAGAGAAAAAGCAAGCAGTTAAGAAAGAAAGAAAAATGAAAGAAAGAAAGAAAGTGAGTAAACAGCTAAGAAATAAATCAAAAGAGCAAGCAGCTAAGAAATAAAGAAAGAAAGAATGAAAGAAAGAAAGAAAGAATGAAAGAAAGACAGCAAACATCTAAGAAAGAAAGAAAAAGAGCAAGCTGCTAAGAAAGAAAGAGATCAAGCGGATAAGAAAGAAAGAAAGAAAGAAAGAAAGAAAGAAAGAAAGAAAGAAAATGAGCAAGCAGATAAAAAAGAAAGAAGCAAAGAAACAAAGCGAGCAAGAAGATAAGAAAGAAAGAATGTATTAGGAAAATAAAGTCAAAAGTATGAATAAAAAGAGAAAGAAAAAATAAAAATAAAATAATGTTAAAAGAAAGATAAATCTACTTAAAAAAAAGAAGAAAACAGAATGGAAGTGGAAATTAAGACAGAAAAAAAGAGAAAGAAATTATTTTAAAAAAGAAGAAAACTAACGAGTTTTTTTTTTTTTATAAGGAAAAGTTTTAAACGGATGGATATTCAGCCCGAAAAGCAAAAATGTCGGAAGACAAACATCTTTGATTCGTGTTTTAAAAAGACAAGGAAACAGAAGAAAATGGAGGAAATACTAAAATTTCTTTCTCTTAGAATTTCTACCCACCCGCTCACCTTAACAAATTTCGTGTAACGAGAACGCATCATTGGAAACACTTCTGATTTCTTGAAATCGGAGAGATTAGTTTCTCTTGAATAATGGTCGTCAATGATGAAAGATGATTGTTCTTTTTTCTTCCCGTCGTTTCTTTCTTGAGCGAGAAATGAGGCGGGACCCGCAATCATCGGATGCCGCCGGAAGGGGCGGAATACCAAAAACTTGACAGATGAAATGACAGAGAGGAAATAGAAACCCGCCATCACCGTCACCCACATTCAGTAATGGCGGTAGACGAAGCAAACAGACGATATCATTGACGAGCAAATCGTTGAATTATGCCCACCTCTAATTTCGATATTCAATTAAAAAATTCTAGGATTTATTAATAAGAACAGCACTAATGTTAAGTTTAGATTCAACCCCCGAAGAAGCAATTCTATAGTTGGGATATTTTATCAACTGGATCATGTGTATTCCTTAATGCGATGAAATATTCCTCAAGCGATTATATTAACTTTAGACATTATATTTTTATTTGTTTATTATTACACTATTTAATAGCATGTAAGACTACCATTTTTCCCAAAGAATGACTAAATAACTTCCGAAATTTATAGCGATATTCCAAGAGTATCTTAGATGTGGAACAAGGCCGAAATTATGAGGCACCCTTCCGGGTTTTATATGTATAGGTGAGATGGTGGGTTAATGTTTTTTAGACGCCATAGACCAGGGGTCGGCAACCTTTTGCTAACTATGTACCGACTTAGGGTTTTAAAATCATTCAGTGCGCCAACAGCATACATATTTTTATACAAGTCAGGGTCAATATACCTGTTCTACAATATATTTTATATAGTAATATATAGGATATATCAGTTAGTTATGTGCCATGCGTGATACACGCTTAGGCGATCATCTATCTTTCGATACATGACTGACAAGGCAGATTTTTTCCCTGCAGTAGGTTGCCATTTCTTTCTGCGGTAGACCAGTTCCTATCCAAGGCTATAGAACCCGTTCTGTCCTGCTTTTTTTGCCTATTGCTGGGGGAGAAGAAGAGGATCCATACATTTCCCAAGGGTATTAGCACGTAAATGAATGTAATGGATTTGACTGGTATTCGAACTCGGCTCTCTGATTACTCAATCCGAGCCGCTATCCATTGCTCCACCGTGTATTTGAATATATTACTCAACAGTGCCTCCTATAGTATATATACTTTCGTATATATTAAAATTGAAACAGCTAAATATCTTGTTTACGTTGTAGTAGTTATTGGTTCGGACTTCGTGATGTCATTTGAGGCTGCGTGCCATTGGAGATTGCTTGGCGTGCCACATTTGGCACTCGTGCCGTAGTTTCCCGACCCCCTGCCATAGACTACTAGTACATGAAACTAGACGAACACAATATTAAATGCAAATTTTGCCATCAAATAGGTTTTACTACTTTCTTACGTCTTTGTTGTTTTATGATAACCTTTTTCTTTTGACTTAAACAAATAGAATCCCAAATGAAGAAACAAATTCACACAAAATGAAATCTCGAGAGTAGAACGTGAATTTGTTTCACATCCAAATCTTTCCGAGAATTAAATATAACTACCGAACGCTGGGATGACTACAACGTTCTGATAAAACGCGGTAAAATGTTAAAGAAATAAATCGAAAGTGAAAGTAATAACATTAGATTAAGTTATTTATAATAGTCACTTTCTTTATCGAATTTATTCTTAAAAAAAAACAAACAAAAAAAACAAAACAAATACAGTTCCATTTTATTCGATTATACAGGATGTGTCCAAAACTTTGACATCATTTAAAATGCAAATATCTGAGTAACTATATCTCTCAGGCAAACGAAATTAAATAAGCTTCATATTGAACAATAAAAGATTTATTTATCAAAATTCGAACAACAAGATATTCAAAGGGATTATAACCGATTTCACAAAGCTTCATAAAAGTTCAGTATACACAACACTTGTGACACAACACACATCAAGTCGCTAGTCCAGCAGCTGTCAAACACGCTGTAGCATGTCTGGCGTAACATTTCCCAACACCTTAGTGATTCTCTGCTTAAGTTCCTCTAGAATAAGCGAACTTAAGCAGAATAGAAGGCATACAGAGCCTTCGTTTCACATAGAAAAAAAAATCACAATGTTGAATGTGGTTGCCATTTCAACAGCACGTTGTCATTTTCACTGGCACTGCCGGTCCATCTTCCTGGTGGAATCTCACTCAGATAATTCCACACTCAACTTCGTTTTTACATATTTTGTAAACATTTGAGATTATTTGAGCGAGAATTGGCTATGTTGCTAGACTACAAAATGATGTCAATTTTGGTGGAGACACCCTCACCATTATTTGCAATGACTTGTTGTCGCTTATGAGGCAATTCTTCGATATTCTTCGACATTCTTTGAGTAAAATTCCGCAGATTTTGATGTACACATGTTTTCGCCGAACTCATGTATATGGTTTTCATTAGAGAAATTTTTCCCAATCAAAGCTCAACGATAAGCGAATAATCGATTAGTGTAAGATCAGGTGAATATGATGGTCAACTGAGTTCCAAAATTTCTTCACTGTGTTATTCGTGTATTGTGCGACTTGACGTTGTCATGGAGGGAAAACAACATTTTTTTTTCTATTGACGAACGCAGGGCGCTTTTCGGCCAAACATTTATGGCCATGTTGTAGCTGCCGTACGTATAAGTGTGCATTTAGTATAACCTTTCCCTATCTTTTCTAAGTATCGGCATGTCGTAGATTTTGATGTGTTTGACATCTTTGCTAATTTTTGAGTACTTTGCCCGGAATTGCTTTTCACTAATGACTTTAGGGTTTCATCCTCAAAGTTCGATAAAACTCCAACGGTCTAAGGTTCACTTTCCAACGATGTTTTTTTTTTTATAATGAAACTTTGCAAACCAACTTGGTACTTGTCGGTCAGTTATGACTTCTTGAACATAAACATTGCATGTTTTTCTAGATGCCTTCCATAACATTATGTGACCTATATGTATTTTCATTCTCTCTCTATTGGTAGGGTTAAGAATCTTTTATATAATACACTGTTTACGTTGCCGCTGTCGTATAAAGCGATAAGATATATATATATATATATATATATATATATATATATATATATATATATATATATATATATATATTAGTGTAATGCAAATTTATTTGCATTTAACTACCAATTATGATTAGTCGTTATGATGATACATTGGCCATTAAAAATCATGATTAGTCGTTATGATGATACATTAGCCATTAAAAATTATGATTAGTCGTTAATGATAAATTAGCCATTAAAATTGGATCCCAGAAACGGAAATTACTTATGACAAAACTTAATACTTTCTTAATTCGTTTTTGTCTTTTTGATAACTTTTTTTTTCATTTAATTTAAAAACTTTCGGACAAAACCTACTGGAAAGATGAGAACATGAATTCATACAGACGCCAAACCTATCGACCGAGGGTTTTTAATATGATTATTGAACAAGAGAACGACAAAAAGCCCTGAGCAAAGACTAAGTAAACTATCGAGGAAACTAATTAAAACAGCGGTTCCCGTACGATCGCCGAAGTTAAGCAACATCGAGTTTGGTTAATACTTAAATAGGTGACCGCTTGGGTTTAACAGGTGCTGTAAGCGTAGATGTGCGGATGGTGCAATTGATAATAGCTCGAACTTGTTAATCGGACAGTCGAGATCAAATTGCAGTTGGGTTCGTTATATTAACTTACACACAAATACTTTTGGTATGATTTCACCTTTTCTCCCCAGCTATGGGTTAATTAGTAAGACTTGTATGACTAAATCATTATTATGTCCTCAAAAATTATATCAGTCTAAAAATATTTTCTGACTTTAACTAATCTGAAAATGGTTCATAGGCCATAGAAAACGAATCAATCGACCAAAAGTAAAAATTGATATGAAACGAAATAGAAGAATAAAAAATACTTCAATTGAAATCTGTAGAAAAAAAATAATGCTATGGTTATAAATTAATCGACAATACAGCGTAGAATAAAGTTTGAAGCAAACGACAGTAACAGAATCATGAAGCATGATAATTCTTTCTTATCATAAAGGCTTTGAAAGCCTAAAAGGAAAGAAATAAAGCAATAAGTCAAAACTAATAATCTAAAACAAGATTACGAAACTTCAGCGGTTACCACCAGATTGTGTGTGTATATATATATATATATATATATATATATATATATGATTAATGTGGGTAAAAGTTTGTCAAAAGAATATCAATCCAGAATTATCCCCAATCCTAGCAAAGTTATCCAACCACTGCTTGAAGTAGAAATCATTCCCAAGCCTGTGGAAGGTGTTAAGCGTATACCCGGTTTTCAAGAACGCGGGCTCTGATCTCATCGCCCCCCACCAATCCCAGTACAGACCCACCAGTCTCCTCAATATCATTGGTAAGCTTTTTGAGGCTATAATCAATTAGAAGGCCTTCGAGCAGCTAGAAAAGAACAGCCTCTTCAGCGACGAGCAGGGTTAGGGTTTCGGTCGGCCCGATCCTTTACCAACATCCTAACTACTATCTTTCACAGAATTAGTGAGGTACTTGATGACAAACACACCTTGAGAAGCATAGCATTGGATACCTTAAAGGCCTTCGCTAAGGTGCGGCACAAATGTTTACTACACAACTATCCAGTTGTGGAATCACTGGAAGGATCTTCTTGATCATATAATCCTTCTTAACAGGTATGTCCCTAAAGGGAGTTATTAATGGCCAGTCTTTCAGACACCTGGCGGCCAACGCTGGCGGCCAACGCTAGCGGCCACCAGGGGTCACTCTTCGGACCATCCCTCTTTTTGATCTACATTTGTAAACATCTATGACGATGATACGACTATATACCTCTAAAATTATCGTTGGTCAGGGATTGGCGACTGATCTCTTTTTCGATCTTGCACGAACTACCCAATGGAGTAAAAACTGGCTGGTTACATTCAATGCATCGTTAGTAACATTCCATTATCGCCGATCTGACCGCGAACTACCACAGGATAAACAGAGGTCCTCTCGGGGAAGCACCGTGCCTTGAAAGACTGTTGAACCTCAAACTCATACCCGACCTCAAGTGGAACTCATACATACGATCCATTGCTAACAATGCAGGTAAAATGGTCGGCTGTCTGTACCGCACCAGTAAGTACCGGACTCCTACTGCTATCCTCTACCATTAAAAGAGTCAGATCAGGGCAAAAATGGAGTACTTTTTTCATATTTGGACGGGAGCTACCCAGATCTCGCCCATCAGACTTGATAGAGTTCAAAAGCATCTCCGAGCCATTGTGGGTGACGAATTATTATCCAACCTCCAACCTCTCTCCCATAGGCTCTTCTGCTACTTCCACAGAAAGTACTTGAACGAACTACATTTCCTGCTCCTGCCAAGGCAAACCTTCATGGCAAAAACACGCCATGCCACTTACATAGCAGTAAACCACCCACATTCCGTCCGTATTCCATCGGTGAGAAAAAAAAGTTCAACTCGAGCAGCGGCCACGAAACATTACTCCGTAGAACCGACTCCCAACAGAATGTTTCCCCAATTACTACAACCTTAACCTGTTCAACGCTCGGTATTACTTTCCACTCCTATACACACAAATGACTTCCAAACGTAAGCCTCTATCTCGAGTGGCTCCAGGGCCGTGTAAAGAGTAAACCATGCTGTAAAAATAATGATTACGTCTTTGATTGTTTTAGATGTAGTTGTAAAAAATTTTATGTTGAGTTTAGATTGTAGTTGTGATAGAGTTAATGGTTAGAAAATATATTTTTTTGATTCGTCAGGAGGAGCAGCTTTTCTATTTTACAATATTTCATGAGCCTTTTGTTTCGCATTGAATATGAAATAGTGTATTGCAGAGTCTTGAAAGTACTTTCAAGATTTCTATCCTCTTCGTGTAAATACTGAGGGCTGCAAATTCTGAGTGCTCTTAAGTAGAATCTAATGATCATTCCGAATTTTTTTGTTCCTATGATGGCAAGAGAAGTTTATTAGACCATTTTAATTAGTTGTTTGTCGATGTTAACGACGTGTAGCCTGATAAACTAGGAATGGTAAAGGATTGCATTCTTCCATTTCGTATGTAAATTCTATTGTGTGTTTGACTTTGTTTAGTTTATTTACAAGATCAGATAAATCAGTATCATGGGGATATATTAATAGAACTTCATCAATATATCGGAAGTATGTTGATTATTTAAAATTTGGTTTTTGTTTTACGGTATATCAAGTTCAATGGGTCATTTAATGAGGACAACTTTTTTTTTCTGGTAACATTTTTGTTTTGTCAAAAATCTATTTCTGTTAATAATTTTTTCTTCAAAAATGTATAGCTGGTAATATTATTTTTTCAAAAACGTATTGCTGGTAATAGTTTCTTTTCTAAAACATATTGCTGGTAATATCTTTTTTTTTTAAAATTTATTTCTGGTAATAATTTTTTACAAAGTATTTCTTTTATAATGCCTTTTACCTCAGTTTCTGGGTTAACTATTTGCCCATAGACGGGACCCTAACAGGTGCTACCACCCTGGGTTAGAGTGGACCTGGGAACACCAGCAATTAAGAGAGGGTTCCACGCTCCTCAAAGCCTCCTGATCAGAGGCCTTGCTGTTGGACGTATTTTATCGTCTTGCCCTGGACGTGGATGAAGTTTATCGTCATACGCAGGACAGATTATTTAGGAAAGATATTTTGGAAAGGACCAGATTAGAGAAATTCTAAGAAAATACATGCTGTTAGTCCATTAAGAAGCGATCCTATTGGTAATTCAAATTTTTGTTAATAAAAATTATTCCTCACGCTCATGTGAATGTGTAGACGAATCAACCTAAGGGAGGAAACGCCTCACGCGATAACATTTTGAACTTTGTCATGAATCTTTCTTCCAACATATATATATATATATATATATATATATATTACGTTTTCCGTTTTGTGGGAGTAAGGGAGTGCAAAATTTTTCCATAATTTCTATTGCCCCAAGTGATTTCGGTTACTTCTGTAGTCATTTTTATTGTTACGTTTATTTATTTTTGGGTTGTTTTGAATGAGAGCATTCATTCCGAGCTTTCACGTTTTGCGCGCGACTGGAATTTGCATGAGCATTTTATGAAAATAAATATATATTATAGTAATTCCTTGAGTCTAGAAAAAACCTCAACAGAATGCAGAAATTACTGGAGGGCCGTTTCGTCTTATTGTGTGAATGCACTACCGAGATTCGAACCCAGACAAATAAAGAAACGTTTAAAGAAAGTTGTCCGAAGCAAGATCGATTTTACTGTTTTAAAAACAATTCTCCATGATTTTCTCTCTTTGGCCATTTTTTATATATATATATATATATATATATATATATATATATATATATATATATATATATATATATATATATATATATATATATATATATATATGATAAAATATAGTTTTAAGTATGCTATATTTATGGGATAAAGTGCTCAATATCAGGGACAGAGTGTACCTAAATATAAAAGTGGATATTGAAGTCAAACACTCAGACAGGCTGTTTTCATGCTAAATACAATCGTCAGACAATTATATATATATATATATATATATATATATATATATATATATTATTTTCTTTTTTATATATATATATATATATATATATATATATATATATATATATATATATATATAAAGAAAACATCTTAGTTCCACGCGTTTTCGTCTTACGAGATTTGCCCTGGTAGGGTCCCTCAGAAGACAAAACGTGTTGGCTAAGATAAGTTTTCCTTTTGTTTTTATTCTCTTTCCCCTTTCTCTCTCTCTCTCTCTCACACACACACACACACACACATATATATATATATATATATATATATATATATATATATATATATATATATATATATATATATATATATATATATATGTGTGTGTGTGTGTGTGTGTGTGTGTTAGTACAAAGCATCATAATTATACAGGCTTGAGGCTCCTTGAGCCAAAGTTCGAATTGATAATATCACGATTGTCGTTTTATCTCTAGTTTACAACCGACAATTAAATGCTAGTTGTTATGTCATTGACATTTGCAGAATGTTAGGACAGTCCACTTACTACCACTACGTCTATCACGACAACTACTCTGAACACCAGAACTGCAACAGCCATACTAATAATAGAAAATAATATTCATTATAGCCAACCATGTTTAATAAAGTGATACCTTCGAAGCCTCAAATAATAATGTACTCTACCCGGTACTGAGCCTTCAAAAATAAACTCAACTAAAATTCCACTCATATGTTATTAGAGTAAATCAAAAGCTTTAAAAACGAACAATCAATTGAGAATAATAAATGTTAGTTACAGTGACGCCTCCGATGCCGTCGGAAGAGAGACACCATTTGAGCAAATGGCGTGTCTAATGTCTGTGGCTGTCAAAGACCAACGCTAAAGCAGACAAGACGGACGACTGAGAAAGCAGAAGCCGAAACAGCTGCTAAACAAGCTTTCAATTAATAAATAGAAAACTGTTAAATGCAGCTTTCTTTGCAAATTAAATTCCTCCTTCAGCAAAATTACAGACCACTGGAGCCAGACGACGCTTCCGAGTTGGCTGTTTTGACCA